TCTACCTCGAGAATTTTGTCTATATTTCACCACCCAGGTTATATTATATAAATCGATATACAGAAAAAGTGCGCAGACATGCCGCAACTCTTTTATTTCACGTACCGCAACTATAATATTCAAGGTATATAATACCTGAACCCGAAGGTTCCATTGCCGTTTTTGATTTATCTTTAAAGAAAACTTAGAAATTGCTTGGAAATACGAAATATTAAATCACGTTTATCACTTTCCACACATAAAAAGGAAAAAGCGACGACTTTAAGAGTATATTGCAAATATTTGATTACTATCCCATTTGGCTCATATTCGAAATATATGTATTGGTAACGGTAGGGGAAATTCTATTGCAAAAAAAATCTGCAAGGTGGCTCTAGAGTAGAGTTATTGGTGAAAGCGTTGGACCAAATGTTTCAATAATTAATTTTGGGCGAGACGAAGTTCGTCGGGTCTGCTAGTATATATTTATAAATAAATAGTAACTGAGCAAGCAACGAAGACAATAACGTTATTACTTTCTTCTTTGTTTTGTACTTAGTTTGCACTTGTTATATTTGTTTTGATCTACCTCGACAATTTTGTGTATATTTCACCAACCAGGTTATATTATACAAATCGATATACAGAAAAAGTGCGCAGACATGCCGCAACTTTTTTATTTCACATAATGCAACTATAATATTCAAGGTATATAACACCTGAACCCGAAGGTTCCATTGCCGTTTTTGATTTATCTTTAAAGAAAACTTAGAAACAGCTTGGAAATATGAAATATTAAATCACGTTTATCACTTTCCGCACATAAATAGGAAAAAGCGACGACTTTAAGAGTATATTGCAAGAAAACGGTAAATTATTTGGCAAATATTTGATTTTATGGTGATGTAGAATTTTATCTACTTTCATTTGGTACTAAAAACTTCTTGGTACTTTGAGATTCATTTTTTGAATTAATCCCCAATATCGACAACAATTACACTGTGCGACAGTTTGATTGAAAAGTATTGCACACACTGTTGATGGGATATTTAATTACCTTCAGTATCATAAAAAGAACTTCGACATTGACTAACTACATCCGGAGATAATGATAGTTTCCTGAAATCGCTTTTTTTCAAAACTCGAAGAACGGAAATTTAGCTATACATATCCCAAAACTGTTCTACTTTATTTACATTTGATTTCATATCCGGATTCAGGGGCATATTTTATATAAGAAATCACAGTCAAATACTATAGGTCAGCACATTTTCTTGAATTTGTAAAGCAGTGTAATTAATAATGCCTCTTTTTTCTTATTTCGTAGAGAAAATAGCAAAAAGTATCAAATTCACTCAAATTTAATATTTTTAATGCGCTGCAACAGCCAAATTTTGATCGCCAATATCTCTTAAAAGCGAGCTAACTTGGCAAAATTATTTTATGGTTTTGTTGCGCTGAGCCTTTCTTCAATAGAAAAATGCGTTGCACAGTGTAATCCGAGATTTGATGTGTAAATGGGAGGATTAACAAACACGGTTTGATTGAGATAATTTTTATATGTGAAAGTACTTTAGCTTCTAAACATTTTTTGCGAGGCCGTCAGCACCACGCCGCCACTATGTAATGGGGATGTTTCGAATGTCATATTTTTCACATTCTTGAATGCGAATACGAATTTTCGCTATGCGAATGTGCGAATGCGAATGCGAATTATCTCATAATCAACTTAAGTCATCGTTTTTATTAATTACACTGATTTACAGAAAAAATTTTCAATGGATGCCACTATCCAATATCGTATGTAGAATTGCTCGGTGATTCCGAAAATCGAGTTATTTTTTTTTTCTATGGATAAGTTTTCGAGATATTTGCAATTTACCGTTATTCAGCTTGAAACAAAAAGTGGTTCCACTTAATCACGTACATATATCTCACGAACAAATTTAACGATCTTAAAATGAGACACGTCAAATCAAAGCTAATAAAATTCTCCATAAAACATTTATACACATTAATTAATCATTCCAGTTGTTTTTATTTTTTAATAAGAAAATGAAAAAAATCAAACTTTAACAGAAGAAAAATTTTAAAAATAACAGGTTCTGTGCCAAATTTTTGCATTTGTGCTAAATTTATTTTTTAATAAGAAAATGAAAAAAATCAAACTTTAACAAAAGAAAAATTTAAAAAATAACAGGTTCTGTGCCATATTTGCGCTAAAGCCTGTTCTGTTACAAAAAAAATTCAAGTTACTAATGATGGAAGGCGAGGGATAAATAGAGAAGTAATGAGTGATCAAATGAAAATACACAAAGATTTTTTATATGAAAAATGAGCAGGAAAAAAAGTTATTCATACGCCACGTACACCTGAGTAACACGCTTCTCTGCTCATATTTCATACAAAAATATTTGAACATTTTCATTTGACCACTCATTACTTCTTTATTTATCCATCGCTTTTCTTCATTACTAACTTGATTTCTTTTGTAACAGAACAAGCTTTAGTACAAATGCAAAAATTTGGTACAGAACCTTATTATTTTTTAAATTTTTCTTCTTCTAAAGTTTCACTTTTTTATTTTTTTCATAAAAAAAAAAAATCTGGATTGATCAATTAATTTGTCAGAAACTATGAGTTCCTTTCGGAAAGTGATGTATATATGGCTTATGGAGAAATTTATTAGCTATGACTTGACGTATCTCATTTTAAGATTGTTGAATTGGTTCGTAAGATATATGTGATTAAGTGGAAGCATTTTTTGTTTTAAGCTGAATAGCGGTAAATTGCAAATATCTCGAAAACGTATCCATAAAAAAAATTAACTCGATTTTCGGAATCACCGAGCAATTCTACAGAGAAATTGGATAGTGGTGTCTAGAGAACTAAAATCAAACTAAAATTTGTGATCCAGTGTGATTAGAACATTGAACGAGTGCTTAACCTATACAGTGTTTTAATCTAGTAGTCAAAGTTCAAAAGGGGCATATTATATTTAAAAAAATAATAATTTTGCTGCCTTTTCTCTCATGAGGCTCCACTGAACAATTACTCACTTGGAACGTTGCCGGGTGGAGCGCTCAAATATTTGCGGGCCAGACCTGTCAATTTGTCGTACATATTTAAGTTTAGTTTTCCACCAATCGAGAGGATTTTCACCGAGATGAGCTTGTTTCTCTTTAAGATAGGCCTTCAATTGAGCTTTAATTTCACATTTTTTTAATGTCTCCTTCTCGCTGAAGGAATCTAAAATTATTTCTAGGTTACTTATAAGACTTTTAGGTTACTTGTAAGCTTGTTGCTTGATATATGTACATACTACTTAACCGTTTAGCGCCTGAAGCTAAAAGCCGGTTATTGTCCGCACCCTGGGTAGACAGACTTAGAGCCATTTTAACAATATTAGAGTGGACTCTCTGCCCATGTGCACATTCGCATTCGCAATACAGTCGTATCATTTGATGCGAATGCGAATGTGTAAAATGGTGCGAATCATTCGCATAACGAATGCGAATGCAAATATTCGCAACATCCCCGTAACGGTATGTTCACAGTCAGCCATCAATAAACATAAATTTATTATATGCATGTAGTATATGTATATGCATGGATACTTTTATGTATGCAAGTCTAAAGCACTTACTTTTGGTTTTTTGGCAAATGGTCCTGTACGCGCGTCTCGTACCGTCGCAATGTCAAGTATATCCATCTCGTTATTTTGGTCAATCCAATACAAGTAAAATCCTTTGGAATCCACACGCATAGTGACCGGTGTGCCNTCATACGCCACGTACACCTGAGTAACACGCTTCTCTGCTCATATTTCATACAAAAATATTTGAACATTTTCATTTGACCACTCATTACTTCTTTATTTATCCATCGCTTTTCTTCATTACTAACTTGATTTCTTTTGTAACAGAACAAGCTTTAGTACAAATGCAAAAATTTGGTACAGAACCTTATTATTTTTTAAATTTTTCTTCTTCTAAAGTTTCACTTTTTTATTTTTTTCATAAAAAAAAAAAATCTGGATTGATCAATTAATTTGTCAGAAACTATGAGTTCCTTTCGGAAAGTGATGTATATATGGCTTATGGAGAAATTTATTAGCTATGACTTGACGTATCTCATTTTAAGATTGTTGAATTGGTTCGTAAGATATATGTGATTAAGTGGAAGCATTTTTTGTTTTAAGCTGAATAGCGGTAAATTGCAAATATCTCGAAAACGTATCCATAAAAAAAATTAACTCGATTTTCGGAATCACCGAGCAATTCTACAGAGAAATTGGATAGTGGTGTCTAGAGAACTAAAATCAAACTAAAATTTGTGATCCAGTGTGATTAGAACATTGAACGAGTGCTTAACCTATACAGTGTTTTAATCTAGTAGTCAAAGTTCAAAAGGGGCATATTATATTTAAAAAAATAATAATTTTGCTGCCTTTTCTCTCATGAGGCTCCACTGAACAATTACTCACTTGGAACGTTGCCGGGTGGAGCGCTCAAATATTTGCGGGCCAGACCTGTCAATTTGTCGTACATATTTAAGTTTAGTTTTCCACCAATCGAGAGGATTTTCACCGAGATGAGCTTGTTTCTCTTTAAGATAGGCCTTCAATTGAGCTTTAATTTCACATTTTTTTAATGTCTCCTTCTCGCTGAAGGAATCTAAAATTATTTCTAGGTTACTTATAAGACTTTTAGGTTACTTGTAAGCTTGTTGCTTGATATATGTACATACTACTTAACCGTTTAGCGCCTGAAGCTAAAAGCCGGTTATTGTCCGCACCCTGGGTAGACAGACTTAGAGCCATTTTAACAATATTAGAGTGGACTCTCTGCCCATGTGCACATTCGCATTCGCAATACAGTCGTATCATTTGATGCGAATGCGAATGTGTAAAATGGTGCGAATCATTCGCATAACGAATGCGAATGCAAATATTCGCAACATCCCCGTAACGGTATGTTCACAGTCAGCCATCAATAAACATAAATTTATTATATGCATGTAGTATATGTATATGCATGGATACTTTTATGTATGCAAGTCTAAAGCACTTACTTTTGGTTTTTTGGCAAATGGTCCTGTACGCGCGTCTCGTACCGTCGCAATGTCAAGTATATCCATCTCGTTATTTTGGTCAATCCAATACAAGTAAAATCCTTTGGAATCCACACGCATAGTGACCGGTGTGCCCGTTCCAGAATCCTAGAATTAATTTAAGTATTAAGAAATGATTTCTAAAGCAAACAAAAAATTTCCTACAAAAATTTAAGTGAAGCGTATGTACATATAAAATATATATACCAAGGGCAAAACCGGTTATGGCCTTCGTAATAAAAATCATAAATTAATTGATAGTATTGTATTTCTAGTTTATCAAACATACATATTGTATTGTCAAAATTGGATTTATATTCTTCATCTTACATATTTTATGNCTCAAAACGTGAGGAATTTCGGGTGCGCTTGAGTATTTTTTGAGGAATTTCCCCCGATATATTTGCAGATAACAAATGCAACCATGTTTTACACAACAGAGTTGTTAAATCGCTTTGCAAATTTTTGAACAAAAAGCTTTCCTAAGTTTTGTAACGGGCGAAATGCACCAAACAAGCGGCTTGTCAAACCTTCTTTTCCAATTTCGCCACACACCATGCAAACATGACTCGTTCAAGCAAAGAATTTTAGTTTTCTTCCGGTTCACAATGTAAAAGCGTTTGGGTTTCTTCGATTTTTCTCTCTTGCATTCTCATTCGGTAAAAATTCCGTTGTGAATTGGGCGATTTTAACATGCACAACGTAAGCGGTTTGAACACATTTTGATTTTTTTTCACATTTCCCTCAAACGGCTTGTCAAACCTTCAAACACCCCCACACAACAGCTGTAAGCAAAGGGATATTTCGCTTGGTTTGTCAAGCCGCTTGTGTGGTGTTTTTCACTCTTAAGCACATCTGCATTTGCTGCTAAATATTCAAAATGTTATCGATAATTTTTTTCGTTCCATCGTTATATTTTCAACTTGTTTTGAACTTGCAAAATCTCGGTAACGAATGGAGACAACACGCAATCTTCGATCATAAGGATATTTATATTGATTCTTCATTAGATCCAGAAAATTATAGGAAAAAGGTTTTTGAATTAAAAGATTCTTCAGGTTCATATACATAAGTTTCACAATTTAAAAAATTATATCTGCATTGCTAATATAGCCCTTTTCTTATGTTTCAGTAGAACGTATATCTAGTAGTTTAAAAATGTGTAGGACCAGATTGAGCACTGATATAGTTGCAGCAAAATTATATACAAGGCATAAAAAATAACGGTGATACTTTGTTTAAAACGAACAAATTTACCAATTGAATTGGAGAATGTAATTAATTATACTAAGTACCTGTAAATAATATGCAGTACACAATATTCATATCTGTAATAGGAAAATTTTGAGTAATTTGTTCGCATTTTGAGGATTTTTCATTTGTTTTTGAGGAATTTGGTAATTTTTTTGTGGCAACACTGGTCATCATCAATACTTGTGTATCTGAAATCAATAAAAATATCTTCCACAAATGTTATATGGTAGGTGAATTGCGATTAAAAATTCCTGTTCGGACGTTCTAAAAATGGAACTCGTATCGAAGATGACTGATGATTTTTGCTAAATTCTGCGAATCTGCTAATGGTACAAAAAAATTATGTATGAATGGTTGTTAAAATAATAAGCAGCCATAACCAATGCGTCAACTTAAACTTCCTAACGATGTTTAGTAGCTGCCAAAAACTGTTCGAAGTTGTTCGGATGTTCCCGTTCGGACGTTCCGATTTTTTTCAACGGATAAAATTTTTTTGTTTAAGAATTTAAACACACTCGTTTTTTTTAATGCAAATATGGGGTTTTATTGTAAATAAATCTACATCCATATGAAGGCCTTAATTAACATTCGTTGAAGTAATTTCTTCGTCCAAGCAGACGTACATATCGACGCCTCCAAACCATACTATGCTAAGTCTGACTAAGTCTAAGCTGACATAGTATAGTATGGTTTGGAGGCGTCGATATGTACTATATATATATAGTGTTACTCACAAAATTGAATATACTGTTTGTTTTTGTTAATATTCGCAATGTTTTACATGCTAATTTTTTTTCATTTTTGTTTTGTATTGAAATATGTTTTAGCAAAACTCCACTTAAATCCAAATATGAAACTGTGTATAAAAATTATGAAAAATCTGCAAACCAACACGAATTTCTAAAAAAAAAATCAGGTATGTAGTTTTATAGTCCATTCAGTTTTAGTACAATAATGTGCAAATTTTAAATGCATAAACAATTCTCAAAAATCATCGCGAATTTTCAGACATTTGAAGTTTGCACTTTATTATACTAACACTGAATGGACTATAAAATTACATACATACCTGATTTTTTTTTTTTAATTGTTACGGTCGCTAAAGCGCTTGACGCGAACAATGTGTTCGCATCGCATATTAGTAATAGCGATAGCAACATATTACGAACGCAGTTCGCGTACCTGACAAAATGCTCGCTGTTGTGAGATCGCATAAAATGTGCCTGTCACCCGTGGTCGGCTAACTTCATGAAAAAGAAAAATTCTTTCTTTTTGAAGACGGACAGCAGCGAGGTAACTTTAATTTATCGCATAATATCAGCCGAATCTCTAAGTAAACATTAAAGATATATACCCCGCCTGATTGGGGACAGTCGAGCGCGTCGAAGTTGGTAAAACTTTAATAAAGTATACGCGAATCAAAGAGTGTCAATCTCTAACACGGCGGACAATTGTTCAACTCTGCAAGCGAGCCTTTATTTGGCGACGAAAATCCTCGAGTCCAGTTCCAATACACACGTCGGCGGACGGTAGAGGCGGGACGCGAATCGAGCGGCCGAGAAGTCCAAGCTGTAGCTGCTTGGTGAGCAAAGGAGTCCCCACGTATGTATGCTTGTGTAGCTGTAGCGGAGCGGTGATATTTGCATCGTACATACACATCCTGCTAAACTGACTAGATATCCACCACGAAGGTGCCATCCATGTAGACCAGAAGACGCGGCTGTGCATGATAAATATTTAAGATAGGGTCGCGCCAAAGAGCAAGGACCGTGTTATATTAGCATAGCAAGGGCGATTGCAAACGGTGTCGAAGTCTGACCCGACTAAGGGCGAGTTCCGTAATACTTGTAGCAGATCGATTTCCATTTTAATAATAAGATAGAACAGATTTTGCATTTGTTGCACGCACAACAGGGGGGATTGAGTTAAGCGGGGAACTCGGATGAAGGGATGAGGGTGCAGTTGGGGCTAGTCACAAGAGCCAAGGCTGGCAATGGTTGTGGAGGGACGGATTGGCCGGCCTCATTCAGTTGGAGGCAAACCGAGACTTGTACGAAGGGGGGGGATCGACAGAGGACGAAGCGGGGGCAGACGAGTAGGGTTAGGGGATTTCTGGCATGCTTAAGGTCTGGCAAGTGCAATAAGGGTGGTATGATCACAGTCAGTGGTTCACAGAGCGGGTACGATTATTTTTTTCTATAGTTGCTGCGGCGTGCGAATTTGTGGGCAAATCTACCCACCCAACTCCGATGAGCTAGCGAGTGCATAACAGCAAGCGTACCCAGTTCCACAGCGAAATCGACGCAGCCGAGAAGGCAAGCAAGCAACATAGAAATGGCGCCAAGCGTGCGGCCCGAAAGGGGTTTCCTATGATACAGAAGAAGTTTTCAACAGCACTTGTCAGGGCATTAGCACGAAATGAAATCATTATAAGGGGGGAATAAAGTCCCTATGCAGCTCCGTTGACTATATCGGAGTAGACTGAATGTGTTAAGGGATGGTGAAAGGGATTTCTAGGCAAACAGGGGCCAGTACAAGGCATTTTAGGGCGGCTACAGTGCTGCAGGTTCAACGTTTACTCCGTGGTACTTGAGGTAGCTTTACGAGCGCCTTGTGCTGGATATCATTTTCTGGCACGGCCATCCCATATGGATGAGGGTCAAGTCCATGTGGATGTGGAGTATCAGTGACGGTGGGTTTTTAGACAGTGCAGGGAAGTTAGGGGGGCAGGTCAGAGCGTATATGGCGGCTACGGTTTTACAGTTTTGTCGTGAGTTGTAGTGATTGAGGCAGTCTTACACGCGCTTGAGCTGAAGATACCTGGCACGGCCATCCCATATGGATGAGGGTCAAGTCCATATGGCTGTGGAGTGTCAGTAACGAGGGGTCGCCTTTTGGGGCATATACGGACGACGAAAATTTGACAGAGGGTTTCACGAAGGGAGTGAATTCATCACATACAATTTTTGAGTCAATTTAAATTCACGCTAAGAAACAAACAAATACATAGTTGTGCACATAGACTTACATGCAAAATAAACGCGGTCTTTCTGTTTTAAATTAGTATGCCTAGGAAAGGTTTGCGTAGTGGTAGGAAGAAGCAAATGGGGGGCAAGAATAAAGATTCGAACGCGGTTACGGATAGGGATAGTAACGTGATTGTTGTTGAGCAGGAGAACGCTGAAATGGTGGGGGCAGTGGCAGGTAATAGTAGCGAAGTGACAGCCGAAACGGCACGCACCGGTCAGCGATATATTCCACTGGGTGAGATTCCGTCACCTGAAGTAACTGCATTAGACAAAATAAGCGAAGAATTGTTACAGAAGTTTGAAGCTATGTTTTTCCAATACCAGATAGACGTTAATCGAACATCCACGGAGGCCATTCACGAGGCAATGTCTAAGGTCCGTAGAGACGTACGTATCCTGGGGGATAGAGTTTCCGCGGTAGAGGAATACCGAAGCAATGAAAATTTTAATGAAGAATCGAGGTCGGGTGAGCTAGCACGGTCACGAAACGTGCACGGCGAGTGTAGGGAACGTAGCCCAGTGGCTGATCAAAGGTCACAAGCCCGTCGGCAATTGTTCACGGATTCGCCTAGCGATAACAACGATGTTATAAGAACTGACAAATTGAAGTTTAAAGTTATTAAAGACTGGGGGTTAAGGTACGCGGGTAGTTCTAAGTCGATACCAATCGAGAGGTTTCTCTTCCGGGTAGAGACACTGCAGAAGCGGCACAACATTTCTTCCGAGGACTTATATGCAAACTTTCATCTATTGTTGGAGAGAGCGGCACAGGAGTGGTTTTGGTTGTTCATGGAAGAGCACGCGGAGGAGAAGGAGGTAGGCTTC